TTTTTTTTTTTTTTTTTTTTTTTTTTTTTTTTTTTTTTGGCTAAGTTATATAATAATAGGAATAATACCACATCAGGAGAAGACATACGTATCAAGCCGAAATTAAAAAAAAAAATAAAAATATGTATGGATCACAATGCTGTCCTTTTCACGTAATATAAAAATACAAAGCCAGCAATGCGCTTTGTTCCCCCTCGCTCGATGAACTGCAGTATATACGCGAAGTACGTACATAGGAATATATATAAACATATAAATATATATAATATATATACATGTATACATATGCATATATATTACGTAGTCTGCATACTATCGCGTGCGCCTACATGTGGCATGGCCATATGCGCGCAGCAGGCATACGCTATACTTGACGCCACGCGTTTTTAATTCACCTGTGAATATTTTAAAAGTAGCCACAAAACGCAAGGAGCGCCCTCAAACACGCAGCTGTATTTGCATGTTTAACGCAGCATCACATGCATAATAATTGCGTAAGCACGCGTACATTATATATTAAAAAGTGAAGGAACACTTTGAGGTTTGTTGCCCTTTCTCACAATAACGTTTTTTTTTTTCGCTTCTTTTATTTTCTGCCCAGTATTGGATATAATATATACAATAATTTATGCAATTTTTTTATGCTTTATAAACGTGTTTCGTCGTATCAGCAAAAGGCATATTTTAAGGACTATATTTTCTTATGCTCTTCGCAAAATTTTACCTGCTTTATATTATTTTCGTTTCATGAACCCTTTTTTTTTTTGCCTTTCCATAAAAATATTCGTATTATCTTTTCGCAATTTTTTGCGTGACCATTTTTCCAAGCTTTTTTCGCGCGCATTCGTTAAAAGTTTTCATCATTTAAGCCATTCGTCCATCATACTGCATTTTCATTCCCCCTCAATGCAGTTAAGCGAGAAAAGCCTTTTTTGTCCTTTTGCCCCTCGCATATGTACCCATGTAAATATGTTAATATATTAATAGCATACATGCCAATTACATATGCGTCCCCATGTTTGAGGCTACATTTATGGTAAAATGAGCCATATTTTTTGTGCCCAGCCATAGAATGTTTTACAAATTCGTGTATTCTTCTTGTTCATGTCGACATAATTGAGCGCTAATTTTTTTTTTTTGGGAAACGCCTGCAACCATGTATGCATCTCCATGTGCTATCTTATCGTTCATCCGCTCGCCGATTTAGTCAATCCTTTATTCCCCCAGTTGCCACCTCATTTGAAAAACCCAAGTCAACGTTGATGCGCTTAACGCGTTATCTTCTGACCCCCCCAAGGCACGTATATGTATGTACATACATATATATGTCCATAATACATGCCACTCACATTAGCACGCCTAGGCAAACATAACTCTGCGCGCGTTCGCCATAAAATCACCAGGGGATATATACCTCTTCACAGTGCGCATTTATTCACACGCACTTACGTACATATACCACAGCGTGCGCGTAAGTAGATGCTTCCACAGCACATACGCCTACGAACCTGAATGCGTAATAGAATTTGCAATAGTGTGCAAATTGACGTAAGCTAAATATATAAGAGCAGCAAAAAGGCTCTTGAGCTACCCCGCCAAAAACGAGAAAAGTTTTGAAGCGCGTTAAATTGACGCAGGGAATAATCCCAGTACAGCTCCAACGTTCATAACCGAATGCTCAGTAATCAACAAACAGGTTCACAAAGGGAATGGTTTGTAAGCGCACAAAAGTGTAGCCAGTTGAACACACATCCCTGCCCTCCTAGTGTATGTGTATACATATTTACATACACGCGTGAATAGGAAGAGGTCCTATAACGGAAATACCAAGAGTAGGCTACTTACCAAGTGAAAGCTGTTAGCTTTTGTATCCCACTAAGCAGCACGCCAATACACAGTACCCCCCCACACAAAAAAATGAGAGGCTTCAACAACTATAACCGATACGCCAACTTCCCGGACTACAGCAACCCGTATGCAAACTACCAAGCGGCGGCCTATGGGCAATTCAGGCCCAATTATGGAGATTACTCAGGTCACTCGGGTATGTCCAATAGTAACAACTCAAGTAACCTAGGAAGAAACTTAATGCAAATTGATTGGACAAATGTAAAATTAGTTCCATTTGAAAAGAACTTTTATAAAGAACACCCTGATATAAGTAACTTGTCATCGAAGGAAGTGAAAGATATTCGAGAGAAACACAGAATTACCATTTTGGAAGGAGAGGGAGTGCCCAATCCAGTAGAATCTATTAGCAAAATTGGCTTCCCAGACTATGTTTTAAAATCACTTAAAAATAATAATATTGTTACTCCAACTCCTATTCAAATACAAGGTTGGCCAATAGCACTTTCAGGAAAGGATATGATTGGAAAGGCAGAAACGGGTAGTGGAAAAACATTAGCTTTTATTTTGCCCGCATTTGTTCACATTTTAGCTCAACCAAGCTTAAAGTATGGAGATGGCCCAGTCGTTTTAGTTATGGCTCCCACCAGAGAGTTAGCTGAACAGATCAGACAAGAATGCGTCAAATTTTCTGTAGAATCCAAAATAAGAAATACATGTGCTTATGGTGGTGTACCAAAGAGTGGTCAAATTTATGCCCTCAAGCAAGGGGTTCATATTTTAATTGCATGTCCAGGTCGTCTAATCGATTTATTGGAACAGAATGTTACCAACCTAATGAGAGTTACATATTTAGTTTTGGACGAAGCTGATAAAATGTTAGATATGGGGTTCGAAATACAAATTCGAAAAATTGTGGAGCAAATTAGACCTGACAGACAAACATTAATGTGGTCAGCTACTTGGCCAAAGGAAGTGCAATCGTTAGCGAGAGATTTGTGTAAACAGCAACCTATACATGTTAACGTTGGTTCTCTAACGTTAACTGCGTGCCGTAGAATTAAGCAAGAAATTTATCTGATTGAGGTAATTAATTTGTGCATTCGCTATGTCTTCTCTCTTTTTCTGTTATCATAGTTGTGCGTAGTGCTACAGTATGTTTTGTTTCCATGCAATGTGCTACTCGTTTTTTTTGTGATGGTGTCCCCTTTTCTCGTTTGACCAATTTTTTCTTTTTTTGTGTTGTTTTGTACAGTGATGTTTTTTTTTTCGTTATTTCTGTTGGCAATTGGGGAATGCAGATGTTAGGGTTGTTCCCTCATCGTGTCTTCTGTGTGTTACGCCAAAAAAAAATTCACTTACGTGGAAATATCCTTTTACGAGCTGTTTATGCCTGTGTTTGCACATTTGAGCGACGCTCCTTTTGTTTTTGTGTTCTTTCCGTTTCATGAATCGCGCCATGTACCTCTCGTGTACGAATGCGTGATTTTTTTTTTTTTCGTGTAATTTGATGTCTCTTTACGCGGCTGTTGTATGTGCATAAATTTGTATATACATATGTGTAGGCTCTTACGTGCGAGGGCAGAGATGACCCCTTTGAGGATCATTCTGCGTAACACGTTTACGTGCGCATTCCCTCCCACATCAGTGACTATGCTGAGCCGTCCGCGTGTCTACCCGCGGTGATGTATTCTATGTTTGTGCCTTCATCACGCAGAATGCATTTTTTTTGTTCCATGTTTTCGTTGCATTGTCCGCTTCATTATGCGTGCCTTCGTGTTCCCCCATTCTGCACGCGCCACCGCCCACATACGGCGGAATTGCTATTAAGGAGAGAATTAGCAGTTCATTGCAAATTTACAAGTGATAAAAGCAAAAGAGGAGCGCTTTCCTTTTCGACTGGAAAGTACTTTAGATAATTTTTGACAATCTTGCGAGCCCTTTCTTTGTCAGAATATTTGTAGTTGTCCGCATGTATGCCATTTGTGGAGAGTGGTACACCCGACCTTTTGCTGTGCGCTGGTCCATTTAGTGTGTGTGCTTTTCTGGGTGCCGATATTTGGCCTGCTACCGTTACTAAGCGCGCACCTGTTGTGTCATTATAGCTTGCGCAACTCCCATGAGAGGAGTACATAATGACAACCGCTAAGATGAGAAATTGGTAGGTAAGCGCCTTAATATGACATACATGTGGATAAGTACTAAAATTTTCAAGAAGAAAGGAGGCAAGATTGTCGAAAAATGGGAAATAAAAGGAAGGATGAAAAAGGGAAAAAAAGGGAGAAAAAAAAAAAAAATAAAATTAATACAATTTATAACAAAGGAAGCATTACGTTATTTGTTTATTTTTATTATTTTTATTTTTTTCCCCTTTTTTTTCCCTTTTCCTTCGTCCTTTTTTTTTTATGCGAAGTCCTATCACTTTAAATTTGCAATGAGGTTAGTTATGATATTCTTGCTGGGCCTTTATTTAACTGCTAATAAAGGCGAAGCAAAAATATGATCCTTATAATGCGATTGCGCACGTGTGTGGTATGCGTTATGTGCGTGACGATGCGCACAGCAGTTTAGGCGCGCCCCTGCAAGTGCTTCAGCATGCGTATTTAAAAACCAATGTTGAGTGCATATTTGAAAGCCAGTTCTGAGTGCGCACGTGAAAGCCAATTTTGAGTGCGTATGTGAGTGTAGCTGTGGCCCTGCGCTGCTTCACACACTTGCACAAATTTGTACACCCATGTGCATGTATGTACATGCCTGCATGCGTCTACGCACACCCAGCATTTGTGCCCCGCTATGTTCTCGTATTTGTCTTACCCCCTTCTATGTGCTAATCTGCGTGCACCCTTTCTCCATTTTAGGAACATGAAAAGATAGCAAACCTCAAGCTTCTGCTTCAGAGAATATTCCGAGACAACGACAGAATTATCGTCTTTGTGGAAACGAAGAAAAATGCAGATTTTATCACCAAGGCCCTGAGGCTAGATGGTGTGCCTGCCTTATGTATACATGGAGATAAGAAACAGGATGAGAGAAGGTGGGTACTGAATGATTTCAAAACAGGAAAGAGTCCCATTCTGATTGCAACCGATGTAGCTTCCAGAGGACTAGATATTAAGGATGTAAAATATGTTGTTAATTTTGATTTCCCTAATCAAATTGAAGATTATGTACACAGAATTGGTAGAACAGGTCGAGCAGGAGCTCACGGAGCTTCCTTCACTTTTTTAACATCTGATAAGTACAGACTAGCTAGAGATTTAGTTAAAATACTAAGAGAATCGGAACAACCCGTACCTCCACAGCTAGAGAAAATATCGTACACAGCTGTTAACAACCCAAGAAGAAACCCATACTACGGTTATGGTCGTTCATCACACAATGTAAATAACATTCCTCTCAAGGGAAGCAATAGATATTACTAAATTTTTTTTTCTTTTTCCCCCCTTGTGCCCTATGTAAAATGTTTAATGTTTATTCTTTAAAAAAAAAAAAAAAAAAAAAAAAAAAGATGGAAAGTTTTATTAGAATATTTACCAGTGTTAAAGCGGTGTGAAGTTTCCTCTGTTGTGGTTATAGCGTTGTGCACATATATGTGCGTGCCCATGTAGCCCATTTTTTATGGGCTTGTGGCAGCCGCAACATTTAAAATATGACATGCGCAGGCGTATATATATTTAACTACACAATAAGAGGCTCAACAGGTTTTGCATTATTTGTAGTTTACCTTTCATATACGTTTTTATAATACATTTTTTAAAAAACAGTTAAATTAACTACATGAGCGCACAGATTGGAAGATTTTTTTTTTTTGGAGTCCTTTTAAAACGTATCACTTTATGTGTTTATTGCATGAATGAGCAAAATTGCATATAGGCTTCCCTACATGGATGAACAAACGAATATACATTCATATACACATTCGCACGCGTATGTGCACATGCATTGTGCACGTTTGCATGTGTATAATTCGTACGTGTAAACGTGTGTGTATGTTTTATACAATTGCATGTGCCACTAGCAACTACGCGCATCAACAGACACAATTTGTTATTCTTCACTTTACATCGCATCGCATGGAGTCGCACTAGCATTTTTGTATGCCCGTCTCTAATGGAAATCACGACGGAATTGTCCACGTTCTTTTTTTTTTTAACGGAAAATCTGCGGAATATTGTCCGCTAAAAGGTTGTACAAGTGGGCGGCTTTCACTAAATAAATGCGTCTCCTATTGGGACAGTAAGGAAATCGTAACAAACACGATGTGGTTATGGTTGCTATGGTTGTTATATATGCTAGGATGGGTGAGGAACAAATACTGACGTACGCAGGGGTAACAAGAAAGACCCGCACAAAAAAAGAGTTCTTTTCGTATATGCAAACCATGTTGAACCGTTTGGATAGGCCAAATGGAAAACTGAGTGAGGTAATTGAAGTGTCCCCCTTTTGTAACACACAGCACTTGGACAGACCATATGTCCTTTATATACCACACTGCATTTCGTATGTGTGTCATTGAAATGGTAACTACATATTGTGATTTTTTTTTTTTGTTTTTTTTCGCTTATACAAATGAGTAAGACCCCGTTGAGCTTTGTTTGCTTTGTACCGTAAAGAGAAGCTTAATGCATTTCCTATCCTTATGGGTATTTTTTTGGTCCCCCCACAATTTTAACCCTTAAAAAGCGTCATCGCGAAAAGCGCAAAATTGTCAATCCTAGCGCCTCTTTGCACTCCGCTCAATTATGACTAGCAAGCTTGGAAAAAAGGGCTCCACTTAAAAAACAATCACAATTTTGCTGAAAAAGCAAGTTTTAAGGAAAAACACAATTTTAGGGGAAAAAATTCATCATAATAGATACTTACAAGGACGAATGATCCTAAAGCGTATATACTTCTTAAAATAAAGTAAAGTGCTTGTTTTTTTTTTGTTGATTTTGGTTAAAAAAAAGGTAACCAGATAAGTTACCACATGCGAGAGGTACACTTTCAGTATTGAAAAAAGTACATAGTGCCTGCGAATAAAAATATATGACAGTTTGGTGTATGTACTTACTACATAACGTATCAATCTTTCGCCTTTTACTAAAGATTGCCGTGTAGTAGGTACAATAAATGCGTTATACCACAAATTTTTGTCGGGCCTTCTGGGCGCGTTAACAATTATAACTAATCAACTTTTTGCATCTTTTAGTAGCCTTATTTTTGTCATAAGTTTTTTTAGCTATAAAAAATGGGGTCATTTTATGTAGGGAAAAAATTTAGTAAAATACTCACTTTTCGAAGTATTTTTGTTTTAGTAAGTTTCTTAATATTGTGCGGTAATTGTATTATTTTAGCTAAAATAGTAAAAACTATGTTTTACAGTTTTTTTATGGTTCACAATAAAAATATTTCTCGTATTTACTAATATAGCGCGTAAAAGAGCAAATTAAATGTTCAAATCTGAATGATACTATATTTTTTTCTTCTTTTTTTATCTAACAAAGCTTTTTCCCATTTTCTTTTTATCCAACACGTACTGGGTGGTCATATATGCACACATTTTACTGTAGGTCACAATTTTTTACAATTGTACGTATGCTTTTTTTTTGAACCTATGTATTTTTACCATATGAGATATTGTAAATAGGCGTATTTTGGCTTATTATCGTTGCATATCTCTTTTAATAATGATAATTTCATAATAGAGTACCCAGCAGCCCAGCGCCTCCTGCTTTTCTGATTGGTGAAAATGTCATCACAAACTTTTCATATTCGATTCAGTGTGCTTATCGTTTAGCAAACAACCTGCATAGATATGAAGTGGTTGCATGTTATAAAAGTTCACACCAGTCACAATGGAGTAAATTTTCGTAGCACTGACATGTTAAGCAGATAAGCGCGCTGCTTATGCGACATCGCAAAGGACACCTGAACTTGCTTTATACTGTGCGCATATTGCCATGCGTCATTTCGAATTGGTAGGTGTTACATTACGCATGTTTACAGTTCAGTGCGGTTCTGTTTATGGCTGCTGATCTGAGGCCATTTTCCGGCGTAACGGGGAAATGCTTTAATTTCCGCAACACTACCCAATCGGTTAACACATACGCAGGGAAAAAAAAATACATTCTGGTGAAATTTCCGAAAAGGGCTTATTGAACCTTCATTTGAGCTATACACAATTTCGTTTGTTGCCTTTGTAAAAGATTTTCTTTTTTTATATACCATTGAGCGAAAATGTGTATAGGCCATGTGTGCGCTATTATAAATGCTTCATTCTGACCGCTTCGGCATGAGGCCGTTCAAAGCAGTGGCCACCGCCCCCTTTTTAACAAACCTGTGGGATGCGGACCGACTGGGGCAAGCACAACAGCTCCGTCTCTATATCGTCAAGTGGCCTTTCCCACTTCACCGCAATGACCTTTGGAGGGTCATTTGGCCCAAATGAAGAACACCCTCCGTTTATGTTTCCGCCCAGCTGGTCTCTCACCTCAGCTCTCACATTTTTTTTACATTCCCATTTTGCACTTATCAGTCCACTGTGGGGAAGCGCTAGAAATGGTTGCGTAGCCAAGGGTAGTGCTTTTTTTCTTCTACCACTGTTGATGTTCCTATCGCCGTCAGTGTTATTCCTGGTATTACCACTTGGAGAATGTGACGCTCCGGGAGAATCCCCCGCCTCGACAAGGCAATTTGCGTTTGAAAAGGGTGAATGAAGTATGTCATTCGATAAGCCCATATTAGGTACAACTTTCGTTTTTAGCCTTCTGCCGTGCAATCGTATGTCCTTACTGTAATCAGTTTTGCAAGCGGCTAACCCGCACAGTGTACCATTTTTGTCCACAACTGAGAAGTTAAAATAATTACTTATGTAACCTCCGCGGAGTCCATCAACCCAGGCACTTTTCCCATTAGGAGTTCTAACATCAGCATTTCTTTGCGCACCCAGCATTCTTGCTTCGAATGTGTAACTACTCATCTTTGGGGTCCTGCTGCGCCATATCTTCCTGCTCTCCCTGTGCGTTGGTTGTCGCGTGGTATCTTGCCGCTTATATGTACTCTGTTTCGACTCTTTGTCCTGTGAAAAGGGAAAATTAAAAGGAACATTAAAAAAGGGAACATTAAAAAATGAAGGACGAGTTTTACAATGATTGACTTAAGTGGGCCACTTCGACGGCATCATCGACACAGGCACGTTATGAACAGCCCAATTATTATGAGCACGCGCGTTATATTCCTGAACCCATTTGACGGCGTTAACAAAATGGTATGTTATATTCTCCACAAGAAGGGTTCGCTACTTTCTATGTCCATTCGTCCTCCATTTCTATACGGTCATTTTTTTTTTTTATTTTCTTTTACCATATCAACCCCGTAGGACAGACAGCACATTTCCAGATACTTGGCGACGCGCTCGTCTTCCATCCTTCGATGCGCATGCTCGATTGAGGACTCTTCCAACAGCCGTTTGTGCAAATCGCTTGTTATGTGACCACCAGCCCGTTCGAACAGATCCTCTCGCTCGGCCTCTCCATCAACATCTGTTTCGATACCCGCTTTGATGTGCCTCTCCATTGTTTCGCGTGCCACGCATTCCACTTGGGCTTCCACAAATTTACGAATATTCGGCTGAAACGTGCATTCACGCAGTTCGCTTAACGCATGGTTCTGCTGTACCCCGCTGGCGTCCTTTTTTAGGAACGCTTTCAATATTCTCATCGGGTCTACGCATTTCCTTTCCCTTGTGGAACACCCCCTTTGAGTGAATTTTTTTCTCTTATGTGTGCCTTTTGGTAGGTGTCCTTTTTGTGGGTCCTCCTCTGTGCTACGTCTCAGTCCACAATTTTTCGACAACAGCATTATGCTCTCGTGGATGACATCATTGAGCATATTTTCCTCTTCCATCACATGGTAGTCTTCCTTCAAAAGGGGAGATTCTTCCGTTTTGCACCTCGCCTTGCTCCACTTCTTCCAATCAGAAAGAGTAAAATACCCCTCTGAAGTGTCCCCCCCCAGAAGAGCATTCTTGCCATTATTGGAAAAGTATGCCTCTTTACATTTCCACATTTGTAGGACCGTCCTGAGTAGCACATCATCCTTATGTTCTAGTCCATCGTTAGCAAAACATGCCCTTTGTATTATCTTAAAAAAGGCCTTTCTCGATATAACTAACATTTCGGGAGCGTCTCTCTTCATCTCGAGCTTACTTCTCCCTTCCAATTTTTCCAGCAAACACAAGTCATTCTCGTTAGCTACTCTCTTCACCTGGCACACATTCTTACAATGGATCTCACCACTTGGAATATCCTCATCTTCAAATAAAATATTTTTTAGTCCATCCAACTTCCGCGCATTGTATAAAAGGTAGGGTAAAATAACTTTTTGAAATTTTTCTTTTCCCTTTTCTGTGAAAAATGAATAAGAATCGATGTTAAACAAATCTACAGAATTGTCTTCATCCCTGTTTAAAGAATTCCAAATTATTTCAATTCCTTTGTCCAGCATAGAACTATTGAGTAGTGTGCCGACTGGGGGAAAGGAGTTTTTTTTTTTCTGTCCATCTAATCCTTTTTGTTTGGAAACTAACCCACTTCTGCTTGCACCCCCTTGACGATTCGTCGTTCTATGCTCAGTGCAGTTTTTTTCACCCTTTGTGTCATTCCTCCATGGCGATATGAAATAGCCTTCACATAGATCGGTCTTTCTAAGACGGTACTTTTTGCACACATCGATATAGTTCATTTTTTTTTTTCTCCTTTTGGTTAAAGCCGTACAATGAGGAAGGCACTCCCCCGTGTGCCCCCACCTACCCTAAACCAGTGAACATGCAGAGTTTTCTTTTGTTGCCTGTTCTCTAATGCATGACGGTATTCACATTTTCTAAACCATTAAACAGGGCTTAGGAAAAAAAGAGAAAAACAAAAAAAAAATTTTTTAATAGAAATAAATAATTCTCCACATAGACACATGTCCCTTTTCAGATGGCACCCTCAAATGTATGTAACTTAGTTATCCTGCTTGTTCCTACCGCTGGGTTTTCATTTTCTCTTCTTTCCGCAGAAGTAACGTGCACCTTGAGTGCTTACTGGGTTTCCCTCCTTCCCAACAGCAGTGTAGCTCTTTACTTCACAGCATAGGTGTGCAAGTACATTTGTGTGATGCGCACTTTTCTGTACGTACACTCCTAGGGGGGGGGTTATAACGTCAAAAATATTTTATTCTATTTTACCCCCCTTTTTTTGTGCAGCCAAAATGTTAAGGTCTAGTTGGTTAAAATGAGCCGAAGCAGCATCGCAGCATTTTGGTACGTGCCTGGTGGGTTGTCCCTACGCGCAACTGGAGAAAAGGACGAGCAAACTACCTGCCTGTTTGCTCTTTAAAAAAAAAAAAAAGGGGAGAACAACCTGCGAAAGGGTGACCCGTCTACGCGGCAGTGGAAATCCATTCAATAATAATGTTTTCAATTACGACAGTCCTGTATACCACAGATCACGCGACCTCTTACAGGTACACAAACCAGTAAGTGCATAAAAAAAAAAAAAGTGAACAAGTTGTTCTGAACGATGTTATTGAGCATGAAGCACATGATTTCATTGGGGAAACCCTAATTCCACACAAATTTCACCATTTTCAATTTTGTGTTCGACCACTATTTGTAATGTATAACTCGCTTGGAGAAAAGTTACTAAACTTTCGTTTGCTCAAGTAAAGATACGTAAAAAGTACTGGCACGCACACGCGCATCAGGAGGGACTTGCAAAAAAAAAAAAAAAAAAAAAAAATGATTACTTATACATGGACAGAAAATATACATGCACGAAAAAGGAATAACTGGTTCTCTACGATGCGTATGAACACCATGGGGGTTTGGCATCTTTTGTATGGAGGAGGTGAATTGAAGGGAATCCTTTACACTTGGTAGGATTAGCCTCGGGAGTATGTTTAATTACGTGTGGGGTGAATGGCTGCAGAAATGTAGGTCACTGAGCTTAGCTTCCCATATCGCTTTAACCCCTTACACAGCATTGTTGAGGACGAACTCAGTTAAGAGTCGGACACCAAAACCCTTGGGTTTTCTGGCCTTGAAGTTCCAAGACACTCCTGCAATATCAATGTGGGCCCATGGAGTACTTTCGATAAACTCCTTCAGAAATAAGGAAGCCACAACGGAGGAAGCTTTCACACTGGAGGAAATATTATTGAGGTCAGCATACTTTGAATTTAGAGAGGATCTATATTCATTAATGATGGGTAACCACCATGCGGGTTCATTGGACGTCTTAGAAGAATTCAAGATTTTATTTATTAATTGATCGTTGTTTCCAAAAACACCAGCATAACTTGTACCTAGAGAGTACAGCATGGCTCCCGTCAAAGTGGCAATGTCTACTATGTAATCCACTCCCAACTTTTCTGCATACACTAAAGCATCAGCTAATGTTAGTCTTCCTTCTGCATCGGTGTTACCAACTTCTATAGTTTTTCCATTTGAAGCTGTAATAATATCACCAGGGCGATAGGAATTTTTGGAAACCATATTTTCACAAACTGCACTTAGGAAGTGTACCTCTAAATTGTCTGGTCTGATGGTACCAATACAATAGGCACATCCTAACACAGCTGCACAACCACTCATGTCAAATTTCATCAAGTCTATCATGGATCCTGGAGCAGCTTTCAAATTATATCCTCCTGAATCGAAAGTTATTCCTTTTCCTATCAGTGCAATTTTCTTTTTCTCATTTTTATTATCTCCTTTCTGAGCCCCTTTATACGTCAAGTGGATAAATTTATTTGGGTACATGCTTCCCTTTCCGACTGAAAGATAGGCACCCATTTTAAGATCCTCGATTTCTTTGACGTCTAATATTTTGCACTCCAGGTTGACCTTCTTGGCTAACTCCACAGCTGCGTTGGAAAGCGAGACTGGGTTACAATAGTTCGATGGAGCTGCTATGAGTTGAGCTGCGTAGTAGGTACCATAAAAATACACACGAGCTTTGTCAATCTGTCCTTTATAAAGATCAGCATTAGGAATGTACAATGATAAATTTTTAATAAAATCTGTGTTGGTACTCTTGTCAGCAGATTTAAACCTTTCATCTGTCACGTATTCGTAAAATAAATGCTCCAAGAAAAACCTAAATAAGTTTTCTTCGATTTTCATTTCAAATACGATAGAAACCTTTTTGTATTTGTTATCATGCAACATGGTGGCTATTGCGTAGGTGATTTTCCTAATTTCTAATTCCGTTTCTTCGTTAGCAGGACCACATCCAACGTACGCAAGGCTAACATACTTCTTCTTATCATTGGCGATGTAGAAGCTTTTACTAGTTCCTACCTTTCCTGTGAAATTTTCCATATTTCCTTCTTTTAAGAATTCATTAATCGCCTTATCATTTACACTAGAGTTTATTTTGATGGGTCCGGCACTTTCGACTTTACCATTGCTGCTGCTACTCTTAGGAGCGCTGTTGAGGAGAAATACGATGAAGCCCTCATCCGCGGGGCATGCTTCCTTGTTGATATCTTTTACCTCAATGATCAAGTCATCTACAGCGGTGTGATCATCTATAGGGATGGTTGTTGGGTCCAGGGACACTACTTGCGGCACTTGGGTCGCCATTTTCCTAATCTCCTTCGTGTTGCTAATTCTTCTAAAAGTTTGGCTCTTAAAAAATGGGGGGCTTGTATCACCACTGGTGTTTTTATTACAAAATGTATGCAAATACAAAATTCGATTTTTTTTGCTCTCTGCAAATTGTGCTAAGCCTGTTTGGAAATTCTTCTTGGGGATATTCAAATAAATGTTTTTTATTTGTGGCGATAATCTTAAAAGAGGCATTGAAAAATGAAGACTCACCAAAAGGGGGCAAGCGTTGTTTTATTATTATTATGCGAACTTGAAGCGCGGAAAACGGAAAATTTACTCCTACAATTGTTCCTCTATATAAAAATACTTTTTAAGAATATATATATGTGCGACGATAGAATGCGTATGTAATCCCTTTTTCTAATGGTTCATGTGAAAACCTTTTATTTTTTCTTTGTAGAGCACGTAGATCAGAATGGTAATATAACAAAACTGCGCCTGTGGCTTTTTTGGTGCGTTCTTCAAAAGTGTTGCTTTGTTGCGTTAACGTACTTTTTTTACAATAATAATCCTATTTTGTTTGATTGAGTTTTTTTTTTTTACAAGCTTATAACCCTTTAAACTTATACACTTTTTAACTCCTTGAGATTGTTTAATTTTTTTAAGTTTTTTGTTCCGCCATTTGGCTGCTGCTCCCGCCGACTGGTTGCATCATTTTCTTTTTTTTTTTTTTGCATGAGAACTTTGCGGGGATATGTGGTACATAATGACGGGCGTGCAACCATGATATAAAAAATGCATAAGGGGCGATGACGCATGCGCATTATACATTCCTTATGACGCAGTGCGTATCCCTTACTCGTTTTGCACCTACCCTCCATGAGGGGCGCGGAAACCTGTGAGAACCGCCGACATTTTTTTGATGAGAGCTTTCCCAGCACAGGACACCTTGGAAACACATGAATATTCATACAAATAATGGCTGCGCGGTTGGTAGCATTCCATACAGCCATCGTTTTCCTTAGGGGCCGCAGTTTGCAGGCCACAACAGACGTGGCAATCCTTATATTACGTGGGAACGACGTACGTATGCGTATCGATGGGCCCGTGTAGCCTCTTAGCAGGAAATAACCTAAGTGCGTATATAATATGAACGCATATATATATTGCCCCTGTGCCTGTACGTATCATTATATGCTTGTACGCATGGCCGGTCATATGCCTAGGCTTCCACCCCAGAGCAATACTTTTTTTTATGCTTTCCTTCAGCCCCCCATTACATGGTAGCAGTATACCCCGTGTTCATTGCGTATTGGAATGTGCATGTAAATATATAATATATATATACATATATACGTACTTATATATTAACATATGTATATACCGTACTCTGCGCACCTGTGCAGAAAATTACAACCCCACTGATTTTGCGATGTTTGGGTAGAGTTTGGTGTATATTCTATTTTTTTCTCATTTTTGCTGTCTTCGTTTTTTCCGAATTTTGTTTTTTTGTTTTTTCTTTTTTGCAATTATTCGATTTTTTTTTTTTTTTTTT